GCCTATTCTTTGTATTTTGGGATTTTTGAAAAAAATACTCATGGTCAATCAAGGGTGTGGTGGCATACATGTATAGTATCAATACTTCTGTAGTTGAGGTAGCAGGGTCACAAATTAAAGCCATTCTGGGCTACATACAGTGTAAGCCTCTGTTTCTACAGTAAACCAGAGAGACGGGTGAGGGATGGAAGGAGGAAAGTGAGAGACAGTTATATTATTTCTGGCAAACTACAAAAGTGTTTTTTGATAGTAGTGATAATAAATTTCATTAATCTTCACTTCTATGAATTCTGTCTATTCTTTGCAAGCATTGAGCCAAAAATTTACTGTTAAGCATATAACCATGAATAGAACAAATTTTAAATAAATATGAATTTCACTTGAAATACTTTAGTGTCATCAGGGAATATAACCCAAGAGCTTTTATTGGAAAGAGTATTTAGTATGCTCAAGATATACTCATATTTGGGAGAAATCCTTGCATGTTACAATGAATATTAAAATGTGTTCATATTTCCAACTTCATTTAATTTGAATTAATTTGAGTGGACTTACATTTTATGACATTTAAATAAAGTATCGATCTTTGATAGTTTTAGTTTTCTTTGTATATTTGGGAGAACACTTGTCCTAGGGTTTTGGTGTGTATGTGTGTGTGTTGTTATGTGTATGTAAATTTATGTATGCATACTGTGAAAATATTTTGCAACATGGAATTTATATTTTACAAAATACATGAAAGGACATCCTTTAATGCTTCTATCCTCAAATAATTCCATAAATTTTCTTAGTCATAGGGCTTCGTACTTTGTGTTTACTTATGTATTTTTTTTCACTAACTGTCACAATTAGCTTCTTTGAAGGAAGTCTTATGAATCACAAAATCAGAAATGTCAATATAATATATCATCAGTGTCTACATTAGAAATGTCAATGAGTGTATTACCATAGAAGGGGCAAATTTAATGGGTTCTCACCTCTAGATAAGAACTACAGCCGAATACTGCACACTGTTTCAAGAAGGAGGAGACGAATTAGCAATTCCCTGTCATCAGTGCTGTTACTGGTTGTCCAGTCTTCAGTGGTTGGTCTTGAAACCATATATACACCTAAAACAAAACAGATGTATGTTTTGTGTTTGCATATATATACACACACATGCTTATACAAGTGAGTGTGTGTATCTCTGTGTGTGTTAGTGTGTGTGTCTGTGTGTGTGTGTGTGTAACAATAATAACAAAAGAAAGAAAAAGAGTCTATTGAAAATGTGTGGTGGGTGCCTGGGAAGTGTTGAAGAGAGAGTACCTGAGAAGGTTTGAAAGGAGGAGAAGAACAGGGAAAGTGATGTAATTATATTTCAATTTCAAACATAACTTTAAGAAAGTATCTCAAAAGAGAATTTGAGCAGGATAATCTAACACAGAGCATTATACCTATCAAAAGGTTTGTTAAGCATTGAAGGGGCTAAAATAACACTTAGGGCTAAGTAATGGAGAATAACAGAATGAAGATGCAGAAGCAATTTGAGCCAGGGAATGGAGGACACTTAAGTATTCACTTCTCGAAGGCAGTGAGCTGACTCTTCAGTGAAGAAGGTTCAGCAGCTACAGGAAGCCCAAGTTGCAGATGCTGAAGAAATGTGTCAGGGATGTGTGTTTCCTAGGACTTCCCCTCCTAGTGACTGAAAACTTCTAGCCTGCCAGTCCTAGAAGCTTTGGCAGAGAGGAATCATGAAAGAATCAGGGAGAAAAGCTTTCTCCTCCTGCCATGCAATGGAGTAGTCCTCCAAATACCTCACTTGACTAGAACCAAGATGGTAACATACTCCATCTTATAATCCAAGTAAGGGAAAGGGCGGTAGGTTTGTAGGTGAAACACTTAATAATATATGACGGAAAGATGATTTATAGTGAAGAACAAGAGATTGCTTAGTCACTGAGAAGCTTCTCTGTTACATTTGTCTAGATCCAGGGAAGACAGATGAATTAGAGAAAATTTATTTTGAAAGCATATGTATACACATATACATGTTTATCTATATCTATACATAAATACACTATATGTACATATAAGTAATATAGCTCACATTAACAGACAAACTCACATTCCAAGTCTAATAGACAATATTAATCTGAGGTAAAAGAAATTGGATAAATTGTAAATATAACACTCATGCATGAAATGCTCAAAAATAATAAAACAACAGAAAGCAAATGAAATATAAATGAAATCCCCATCAAGTTTATGATGAGAAATGACTTGGTTTTCATGATGATGAGGTGGAATACTTCATTCATGATGGGTACTTCTTTTGGAGACAAATTAGAAAAATGAGGACAAGTTTGAACTTGTGTTTAGTAAACACTGAGGTAATCTAAATAGACATGCCCCAAATTGGAAGAAGTACACACATTTTATAACCTACAAGTAAAAGAGGGTATGGAGGTATATGGTTCCTGTTTCATAGAAACAGCTTGTCAACAAGAACAAACAAGGAAGTTATTTTATTTCCTTTTTAGTTGGGTAACTGCAATTCTTTCTATGAGATACATAATCTGTAGCAAAACCTAAACCTCTAAGTTATCCTGTTCAGGTAATGATGTAAATTTGTTCTGACATTAGCTTGAGAGGAAATAGCAGCCTAGGGCAAAGAATTAGGAACCAAAGTAAAATCATGCATGTACACATACACATATACATATGCACATAGACGTACAGACACATGCTTACACTTGACTATCAAAACATCATTAATCAGTGTAATTGTCCAAAGGAAGTTGTGCATCTGAATTATAGTTAATGATTCTAATTACAGTGTCTGCAGTTAAGTTAAAAATCTTTAATTTTAACATTAAAAATTAGTGAGTAAGAAGGTAATTAAGCTTTAAAATGCACTGGTAGCTAACAATGGGCAAAGTTTGCAGTAGGCGTGCACACTACAGCAATTTCTCCCACACCTGACCCACCCCCATGAATTTCTATATAAAGAAATATGTCCTTTCTATAAAAGACATAGATGTCTTCTTTTGTATTCATGGACACCTCATTGCATGCATATATTTTTCTACAGTAGCAGTAC